GACAGCGTCGCAGATCGAAGCCCCCCAAACACGGCGAGGTCCTGCTCAGGTCACCGCGGTGCCTCACTCCGCAGGACCCACCAGCAGCCCCCGAAAGTGGTGACAGCGTCGCAGATCGCAGCCCCCCAGGGACAGCGAGGTCCCGCTCAGATCCCCGCGGTGCCTCACTCCGCAGGACCCATCAGTAGCCCTCGAACGTGGCGACAGTGTCGCAGATCGCAGCCCCCCAAACACGGCGAGGTCTCGCGGACCCACCAACAGCCCTCGAAAGTGGCAACAGCGTCGCAGATCGCAGCCCCCAGGGACGGCGAGGTCCCGCTCAGATCTCCTCGGCGCCTCACCCGCAGGACCCACCAGCAGCCCTCGAAAGTGGCGACAGTGTCGCAGATCACAGCCCCCCAGGGACGGCGAGGTCCCGCTCAGATCCCCGCGGTGCCTCACTCCGCAGGACCCACCAGCAGCCCTCGAAAGTGGCGACAGTGTCGCAGATCGCAGCCCCCCAGGGGCGGCGAGGTCCCGCTCAGATCCCCGCTGTGCCTCACTCCGCAGGACCCACCAGCAGCCCTCGAAAGTGGCGGCAGTGTCGCAGATCGCGGCCCCCCGGGGACGGCGAGGTCCCGCTCAGATCCCCGCGGTGCTTCATTCCGCAGGACCCACCAGCAGCCCTCGAAAGTGGCGACAGTGTCGCAGATCGCAGCCCCCCAGGGGCGGCGAGGTCGCGCTCAGGTCCCCGCGGTGCCTCACTCCGCAGGACCCACCAGCAGCCCTCGAAAGTGGTGACAGCGTCGTAGACCGCAGCCCCCCAGGGGTTGCGAGGCCCCGCTCAGATCCCCGCGGTGCCTCACCCCACAGGACCCACCAGCAGCCCTCGAAAGTGGCGGCAGTGTCGCAGATCGCAGCCCCCCAAACACGGCGAGGTCCCGCTCAGATCCCCGCGGTGCCTCACTCCGCAGGACCCACCAGCAGCCCTCGAAAGTGGCGACAGTTTCGCAGATCGCAGCCCCCCAGGGATGGCGAGGTTCGCACAAAGCAAGAGGAGCGAGAGAGAGAGAGAGAGGGAAAGAGAGAGAGAGAGAGACGGCAGGCGGGAGGAGGAGGAGGAAATGGAGGAGGAGGAGGAGGATGAAATGGAGGAGGAGGAGGAGGAGGAGAAGGATTGGAGACCACGGTGCTCCATTCAAAACGAATGCCCAACCAAGGAGGGGTGGTAAATAAAACACCTAAGGAACACCGCAGATATTGGCCGCGTGGCCCCCCATTTGGGGTGCTTTTGGAGCGCTCTTGGGGGCCTATGCAGGGCCTCTTGGGCCGTTTCGGGACCATCTTGGGCGCTTTGGACCGTTCTTGGGCCGTCTCGGAGGCCTCTTGTACCGTCCTGGGGGCCTTTCCAAGCAGTGTGTGGCCTCGAGAGCGCGAGTGTTGCTTATTGTACGAAGGGTTCATGACTGGACGCGAAGAGCGCGTAACTTACGAGGGATCGCGGCTCTGGGGTCGCAGCTATTTCGTAAATTACGAGAGTATTGCCTCGGAGACGCGATTATTCGTTTTTATACCTATACGACCACCCTTCGGGTGATAAGGAGGTTGTGGGGGGGAGAGGGGGGGAACCAACATCTGATTCAATCGATCTCACTATCGATCTCACTCAACGGGACACCACGGGACACTTGTCGATCTCATTATCGATCTCACTATCGATCTCGCTCAACGGGACACCACGGGACACCACAAGCCTCCACGAGACACCGCGGGACACCTCTCGATCTCACTATCGGTCTCACTATCGATCTCACTATCGACCTCACTCAACGGGACACCATAGGACACCACGGGACACCTCGGGACACCACATCGCTCTCACTATCGATCTCACGATCGATCTCACTATCGATCTCACTCAACGGGACACCACGGGATACCTGTCGATCTCACTAGCGATCTCACACGGAGATAATCATGTGTCTTGATTTCGCCCGAGCAACGGCGCACCGGCCGCCGGAGGAGTTACATTTGGTCCGGCCGCGGCCCAGCCACAGGAGGATTTCTTCTCGCCCGCCCACGCAGGTTCACCTCGCCCGCACGCACGTACGGCACGCACGACACGAGCCCGAAACCGAAATCGATTTCCCGGTAGGGGGAGTCTCCATTTCACGTCGGACTCACCCCCCAACCTCCGATGTTGCAAATAAGTATGGCTTCGGGAGCGCGAGCACAGCGTAATTTGCCAGCATGGCCCTGCGGACGCGAATACGGTGTAACTTACTAGGGGTTATGGCCTCGGGGGCGCGAATACGGCGTAATTCGCGAGGGGGTACGGCTTCGGGGGCGCGAGCATCGAAATAATTTCTCGTGCCAGGACCCCCCAGAAATTGTGAGAGCCTTCCCAGGTGAAGGTCACCAGGGCTCTTTTCGGCTACCCCCCCTCGCGGGGACTTCAACAAATTACAGTAGGAAGTAGAAAGCTTGATTACGACATGGAGGACTTGAAACTGGAACTGGAGCAGAAAGCAGCCAGCCTAATCCGCTCAGCCTTGTGGCCGCACAAGGGGGCGGGCGGATTCCAGTTGGTTTGTTGTCCCATCAACATGGTGGTCTCGCTGCAGCGTTGGCCTCATTTCAGGGTCGGCACTTTACTCCCGTCGTTCAAAATAGCGCTTTCGCCCCAGCACGGGCCACATTTCTGGATCCGAATGCTTTCTCGTCGTTGTCGCTCCCTTCCGCCCCGCCCGCCTCCCCCCCCCGCCTTCCCCTCGTCCTCCGGCTCCTTCCGTTCCTTCTGCTTCTGCTGCTGCAGTTCCTCCTCGTCCTCCTCCTTCATCCGCCTCGTCTTCCTGCTCATCCTCCTGGTCACCCGCCACCTTCTCTTCCAGTGCGCACAGCTTCGACTTCACGATTACGCATGCCACGAACGTGGTCCTGTGAGCGTTCCAGATTCGCAATGAAACCCGTCGGCGGAAAACGAAGGCATCAGCGCTGTGGCAAGTGATGGGCGAGAGGGGCAGGGTGTCAACGGTGGCGCGAGCGAACCAAGCTTGCTTCCCCCCTCTCCGTTGCCTTCCCATTCCTTCCCCATCCCCCCCCCAGAGAAAAAAACAGGCCTTCCTCCCCTCCCCCAGTCGCTCCCAGTGCCTGCTGCAGGCCTGCGGAGGCCTGTTCTGCTCCGCGGCTCAGACGGCCGCGCCCCCCGCCCCTCCGCTTTTCTCGCCTTCTGCCCCCTTCCCCACCTCGGCGTCGACTCGTCGTCGTCGTCGTCGTCGTCACCGGCGTCGCCGTCGCCGTTTCCGTCGCCACCGCCGTCGCCGTCGCCCCCCGCCCCTCCGCCCTCTCGCCTTCTGCCCCCTTCCCCCCCTCGACGCCGACGTCGTCGCCGTCGCCGCCGCCGCCGTCTCGGAGGGTCTCTTGCTGGGGCTTCGGGGGCTCTCGCCGCCACGGCCGGGCGCACAGACGGGCCCAGGTGGACCCTGGGAGGGGTCCCGGGGCCGAGGTTGAGTTCTTCCTCCTGTGGCGATTGCCCCCCCCCCGGGCCCCTCCGTGAGAAAACATGAACAAACAAAAGCCTTCCCCCTGTGTCCACTTCGCCCCTCCTCTCGTCCTCGCCCCTCCTCTGCTCTGCGCCATCCTGTGGGCTCAGCTCTTCGTCGCTGCTCCTCCTCGCCCCATGCCCAGTCCAACGAGTCGTCCAGGATTGGCGGGGGAGGAGCAGGGGGCGGAGGACCGAGGCAGAAGGAGGAGCGGAGGATGGAGGAGACCAGAGGAGGAGGAGGAGGAGGAGGAGGAGGAGGAGGAGGAGGAGGAGGAGGAGGAGGAGGAGGAGGAGGAGGAAGGAGGAAGAGGAGGAGGTGGACGAGCAGGAGAGGAGGAGGGAGGAGGAGGGTCAGGAGCAGGAGGAGGAGGAGGAGGAGGAGGAGGGAGGAGGGAGGAGGGAGGGAGAGGGATGGTTGAGGAGGAGGAGGAGGGAGGCGGAGGAGGAGGAGGAGGAGGAGGAGGAGGAGAGGAGGAGAGGAGGAGGAGGAGGAGGAGGAGGGTAGAGGAGGAGGGAGGAGGGAGGAGGGAGGGAGGGAGGAGGGAGGAGGAGAGCGAGGAGGAGGGAGGAGAAGGAGAGGAGGAGAGGAGGAGGAGGAGGAGGAGGAGGAGGAGGAGGAGGAGGAGGAGGGAGGAGGAGGAGGAGGAGGAGGAGGAGGAGGAGGAGGAGTGAGGAGGAAGAGGAGGAGGAGGAGGAGGAGGAGGAGGAGGAGGGAGGAGGAGGAGGGGAGGAGGACAGGGAGGGAGGGGGAGGAGGGAGGAGGGAGGGAGGAGGAGGAGGAGGGAGGAGGGAGGAGGGAGGAGGGAGGAGGGAGGAGGGAGGAGAGGAGGAGGGAGGAGGAAAAGGAGGTGCAAGGCGCGAGTGGAAGCATGAGGAGGCGGCTGCCCCTTGGAGGTTTGGCCCAGGACGGAGAACAGAGCCCAGGCTCCCTCCTGCTCGCGGGGAGCAGCCGTGGGGCTCCTGGGCCGGGCGGGCGGCAGGGCAAAGAGAAGAAGGAGTATGCAGGAGGAGGAGGAGGAGGAGGAGGAGGAGGAGGAGGAGAAAAAGGAGGAGGAGAAAGAGGAGGAGGATATAGAGGAGGAGGAGGAGGAGGAGGAGGAGGAGGAGGAGGAGGAGGAGGAGGAGGAGAAGGCAGAGGCCAGAGGCAGAGGAGGAGAAGGAGGTGGAGCAGGAGGAACAGGAGTTGGAGGAGGAGGAGGACAAGGAGGAACAGGAGGAGGAGGAGGAGGATAAGGGAATATTAGTGGGAGAAGGAGGAGGCGGAAAAATGGAGGAGGAGGAGGAACAGAAGTTGGAAGAGGAGGCGGAAAAGCGAGGAGGAGGAGGAGGAGGAGGCGGAGGAGGAGGAGGAACAGGAGGTTGGAAGGTCAGGTAGGCCTTAGATCCAAGAGACATGCGGGGAAAGGGGGAGGTTGCAGGGGGACGCAGGAGGAGGACGCCGCCCCTCCCCCCCGTCCATGCCAGCCAGCAGCGGCAGGACGCCACGATCCGCCAGTGGGACAGCGCCACCGGCGCGCACGTGCGCACCCTCGCGGGGCACTCGGCCCCCGTCAGGCGCCTGAGGGGCGAGGGGGTGGGTCCAGCTCGGAGGAAGAAAAGCTACTAGTACCCATCCCCCTGCCTCTCCCCTTGCTGGGCCTCCCGGGAGGCCCCCGTCGCCACCGCTGGTTTCTCCTCGACATCCTGGTCAGAACGCGCCCTGGGAGAGGTCCAGGGAGTCGCGGTATAGGTATATGTGTGTACATGTGGGATTCCCCATCAACACCGCCAGACATTCCACGGAACGCCCTGGACCCGCCGTCCGACCTGCGGTCAGGAATGTTGTCTTCCTCCTCCTCCCCCTCCCCTTCCCCTCCTCGTCCTCATCGTCCTCCTCCTTCTCTCCCTCCTCCTCCTCCTCCCCCTCCTCCTCCTCCTCCTTCTCCTCCTCCTCCTCCTCCTCCTCCTCCTCCAGCTCCTCCTCCTCCTCTCTCCTCCTCCTCCTCCTCCTCCTCCTCCTCCTCCCCCTCCTTCTCCTCCAGTTCCTCTTCCTCCTCCCCCTCCTCCTCTCCTCCTCCTCCTCCCCTCCTCCTCCTCCTCCTCCTCCTCCTCTTCCTTCTCCTCCCTCCTCCTCCTAGCGTGTCGCGACGCCAGTTCTGGCCCACCACGCGACGGCGCGACACGCCAGGCACGCTCCAGTCCCCAAGCTGCAGCGGTTGTCCGCTTGCAGGGTGCGGCGTGTCGCCGATACCCGCGGTCGCGGGCGGCACGCGCAGCGGGCGTTCCCGACCGCAGCCTGCCGCGCGGGCCGCGGCCGCGGCATGCGAAGCAGACGTCGCTGACGCGCAGCCTGTCGCAGCTCTCTCTCCCCTTTCGTTCCTCTCCCTCCGCCTTGCCGATACTTTGGCAAAGGAGGCTCTGTGTGCCAGTGATGGGCTGGAGGGCCCTTGCCGGTGCCGGCGTTGGAACATAGTTGGCGGCCTCCTTCAAGTTGGACGCCTGATCTCCATTGGTTCGAATCCTGTCCAGAGGAAGAAAAAACTGTCGCAGGTGCCGCCGCCGCAGCACGGTGGCTTTCAGGTAACAGATCCCCAGTGATCCGACGCTCCAAAGAATTGTCTAAAGCGGGCGATGCTTGGCCGCCTTCGGCCCCTGGGGGCCCCAGCCGGGCCTCGGGACTGTCCAGAAACCACTCAGGTCGAACAGAATTGGAGCAGCCCGATGTCTGGGTCGGGTCTCTGGCGACCCTTCGGGACGATCCGGGTACCCCCGGAAAGCCCTCGACAGGGCGCAGCTGCTAGAGAGCACCCCGAGGCGAGAAAGCCCTCAAGAACAAGCGAACATTTCCGAAACGCTGGGCGCGCCGCCGAAGCGCACCTCTCGCACCCACTCGCCTCTGCCCCGTGGCACCGATGCCGTGTCCGTCGGGGTTCCTCCGTTCACCAGACGTGGGGGCAGGCGTGACAACGGGGGCGGATCTGTGCTGCCGCTTGGGGAATGCACGGCCTCTGGAAGCTCTGGCGGGAGGAGGAGTGGGAGATGAGGGTGAGCGGGAGGCAGGCGGAGGAGGGAGGGGAGGAGGAGGGAAAGAAAAGTGGAGGAGGCGGACAGAGGAGGAGGAGCAGGAGGAGGAGCAGGAAGAGGAGGCGGAGGGAGAATGGAGGGGGAGGGAAAAGGAGGGAGGAGGAAGAGGCAGAAGGAGGACGAGGAATCCGGCCATTTGGGCCCTCTCATGTTTCTCTTGACTACTGCCAGCACGCGAGCCAGTACTCTTGAGAACTCTTGTGCTTGAGCATTTTCACGCATGCCAGCGCACTCACCAGACGTTCGGAAACGCGGCACCATAGACGTAGTTGTTGCCCATGGACGAGTTGCGTGTGCACGCTAACTTGAACGACTACGCAGCATAGCTTCTGCTCAAGCTCTGGCCAACGCAAGACACGTCTGCTGACGAGCGTCATTCTGGTGTGTTTCGGTATCGGAATGGGCATAGACCTTGGGCCAGAGAAGTAGCCTACTGGTTATCCTTTCGAACTTTGGAGGTACAGGGCCGATTCCGATTCGATCATGTTCTGAATTTTGATCTGAGTGGCACCCTGCACGCATGGCAAACTGGAGGTGCTTATTGGCCGCCGACATGGCGATCTTCAGCGGCTCCGATGACGGCACCATCCGAAAGTGGATGCCCCTCCTTCTGTGCCGACTTGTCTTTGCAAGGGAGGGCGGTGAGGAGGATGACAAGGAGAAGGAGGGGAGGAGAAGAAGAACATCCTGAGGCTCCGAAAAGCCCGAGAAGGGCCGAACGGGCCGAACGACCTCGATCCTCGAACCTCGAGGGTCGAGGAGGAGGCGGCTGAGGAGGGGTAGGAGGAAGAATTCAACATTCTTGATCTGCCAATCAGGCGAGGTTCGTCTCCAAGCTTCCGCGCCGCATGCAGACCGCGTGTGTGGCGAGCACCTCGAGCCCTTCCAGCCCCTCCTCTCAACTTCTTCCTTGGCGTCGTCCTGTCCCTCCTCCTCCTGAAGGCCGCACGCCTGACTTGGTATGGTGCTGGCGCTAGAGCGAGGGCCACACCTCAGACTTAGAAGAGTGCTCTCGCCTGAGCGGCGGCCACAATTACAGGCTGTGGCGCCCACCATGTTCATCTTGGATGAGGTTGTCAACGTGGGGGGAGGTCTGGGATTTTGCTCGCTTGATTTCCCCCACTTGAGTGGGGCTCTCGCTTTCATAGAACACCCTCTCTTTTCTCCTTCCTCACCCTCTCAAGCTCCTTCTCCTCCTATTCCTCCTCCGGCTCCTCCGCCTCCTCCTCCTCCTCCTCCTCCTCCTCCTGCTCATGCAAGTTCCAGCCCCCCCCTCATGCAAGCTCCACATCCCCTTTTGTTTAGAAGCTCCACCATTCCACCAGCTCCTCGGGTACCATCGCATCCACATCTTTACCATCTGCCATCGTATTTGACAGTGGCAGGGTGTAGGAGCACCAGATCATTAACCAGGCTTCGTGCCACCTCCACCCCTCCAGTCTCCACCAGCCTCACGGGCAGCCAAGATTCAACCTCCAGGGAGGCTGTGCCGGACCGTGCGGGCTATGCGAAACCCTTGTCATGTTTGAGGTATCGTGCCTTCCAGCCTCCACCAGCCCCACCAGTAGCCCAGATTGCACCCAAATGGAGGCCGTGTCGGACTGCGCGGGGTATATGCGAAACCCGTGCTATCCATCAGGGATCGTGCCTTCCCCCCTCATTGGCAGCACAGGCTCTATTTCCAGGGAGGCTGCGTCAGGCTGCGCGGGCTACGCAAAGCCCGTGGTGTTTATCAGGCATCTTGACCTCCAGTCTCCACCAGCCTCAACAGTAGCGCAGATTCTACCTCCAGGGGGGTCCGTGTCGCACTGCGCGGGCAATGCGACGTCCGTGTTGTTCATCAGGGATCGTGCCCTCCAGCCTCCACCAGCCATACCGGTAGCACAGATTCAGCCTCCAGGGAGGCTGTGTCGGATTGCGCGGGCTGTGCGAAGCTTTGAGTGGGACTCTCGTTGTCCTAAGACACCCTCGCCTTCCTTCCCTCCTCCGCGAAGCCCTACACATCCTTATACGGGGGGCGCTCTGATAGCAGACCTTCCACAAGACATAATACTTGATTGGTTCTTCTTGGGCCTCCAGTGGCCTCTGGATCCATATTTTTCTCCTCCTCCACGAGGACCGACCGAACAACGAGGACCGACAGAACATGGAAATCAGGAGGCAGCGGCGACGCGAAGAGGCAGCAGCCCAGCAGCCCCCTCCCTGGCAGAACGCCAGCGCTGGTTGTGTGGATCGCAGCTCGATTAGCAGCGGGCAGGATACGAGCATCCGCTGACATCGCAGGGAGTGGGGAGAAGGAGGATGAGGAACATAACGGACAATGGAGAGAGGAGGAGAGGGAAAACAGCACAGAGTTCACCCACACAAGATTTGCAGGTCAGGTTTGGTTGTCGCATCTCCTGGCTCAGGTGCATGCAGCAATGAGGTCAGGGTAGTGGGCACATTGTCGCCGATTTCGGTGTGAGTCTTTGATGTCGTTCTCACGGGTGAAACTAGAGGAGACGCGAAAGTGATTGGATTCGGAGGCCGCCCGCGTGTAATAGGTGCATGCACTTTGGGCACGTGTTCGAAATCAGTCATAATGGGGTGGAATCTTGGTGAGTGAGTGCATGTGCTCCCGCATCTGCGCTTCGTAGTATGATCGTCGGTTCAGTGCTTTGGCGCGTGATTTGCAACTAGGAATGCCTTTCCCCTCCCTCTTCCTGAAACGTGCGAAGACATCCAGAAGCCGTCGGGATTTTCTGGTAGCCGTTGAAAGCCTCCAACTTCCGAGCGTATCACACCTCCGGTACCTATCAAAGACCAGGTACCTTAGCAGCTATCCATCCTCCCTCCTCTTCCCCTCCCCCTCCTCCCTCCGCCTGTTTCCTTTCTATTTCCTTCCTCCTCCTCCTCCTCCTCGTCCTACTCATCCCGGAAACATTTGCAGAGCCAAATTCCACAGTCTGAAACACCATCCTCTACAGTGCCAGTTTGTGGACACGTCGAGCGGCAGAGCCGCGCTCGTTTGAAGGCCCGTGCGATGCGGAGGAGCCGGGCTGACGGGTTGACTGGATCAAGAGATCCACGCGCAGAGCGCGCGCGGGAGCCTCTGAAGCCTTTCGTGCGGATCCTGGGTATGCGCCCATGCCCGGAGGAGGTGGGCTTCCGGCTGGGCATGTCTCAAGAATTGCGACGAGCACCGTAACGGGTACTCACTAACGGGTACTTTGGAAAATTGCCGAAAGTTGCCACTGTCGGACCTCTTTCTGGCAATGCAGCGTTGCCCACATCGGGAAGGGTTGGGTTCGCTGGGTCACTGGCCAAAGTGCCCGTAGGTGGAGTCCCCGTTTGATGGGCGCTGAGAGTGGCGGCGAGCACCTGGGCCTGGACTGACTTTGGGGGAGGCTCGGATTGCACCGCCGAGGCCCAGGGCGGCGTGCCAGAAAGGCGCAGCCGGCCGCCGCGCGCCGGGAGGAGGAAGCTCGAGGGCGCTCTGCGGCGGCATGCCAGGGCACCCTCGGGGAGCGAGGGCGGACGCACCCATCAGGGCAGCGGGGCCGCCGAGGAGGAGAAGGAGGAGCAGGCGGAGCAGAAGGAGCAGGAGGAGCAGGAGGAGAAGCAAGAGAAGGAGTGTTGAGGGGAGGAGGAGGAGGAGGAGGAGGAGGAGGAGGAGGAGGAGGACAGCGCACGATCTCGTGGAGTGCCAGGGGCAACGATGGGGGGGGATGGGCATAGGGCGGGGATGCATCGACCCCGATCGCCCGTTGATCGCCGATGGGGGCCTGATGACCCCACCCCGCCCAGGAGCGTGGAGATTCACAATCGGGGGCCTATCGCCGATCTTTGTCGGCGATGTAATGGCGATTACAAGTCGATGTTTCCCCCCCTGTGCCAGTCCCCCCCCCTATCGTTGCCCCTCAAACTGGCGTTCAGTATATCCTGCTCACCTCATGTGGTTCTGGATCATAAGTGATGGCCGCGTGGGGCCGCCAGGGTGTTGAACGCAACACCGCTTGCCGCTTCCGCTTGCCAGAGCAGCCCACTTCCTCTCCTGCTCCTCCTCCTCCTGCTCCTTCTGTTCCCTCTCCTCCTCCTCCTCCTGCTCCTCCTCCTCCTCCTCCTCTTGAACATGTTCGGGCCCAGAGGGATTCCTGTGCCCTTCTTCCGTGGCACTCGGGTCGATATGGGCAGCGATCCCTCGGGCGATTTGGTTGAAGAAATGAGCTGGTGCCCGTCATGCATGCTCGTTGACCTGTTGGATGAAGCTTGCTGTTTTCTGGGCCCGCGTGTGAGCAGTGGAAGATGCAAGGAATCTCGTCAGCTACAGACGCGTGGGAGAGGCGGCGCGTGCCCGCCATCCAGGCCTTGCTCGCGGAGACACGCTTTCCAAGGCAACGCCTATCAGCTATTATTCCCGTTCCTCCTCCTCCTCCTCCTTCTCCTCCCCCCACTCCTCCTCCTCCTCCTCCTCCTCCTCCTCCTCCTCCTCCTCCTCCTCCTCCTCCTCTTCCCTTTTCTTCTCTTTCTCCTCCTCCTTCTCCTCTTTCTCCTCCTCTTTCTCCTCTTCCTCCTCCTCCTCCTCTTTCTGCTATTCCTCCTCCTCCTCCTCCTCCTCCTCCTCCTCCTCCTCCGCCTGCGCGAAGGTGGGACGCCAGCAGCGGCAGCCTCCTGGGCACGCTGTCCGGGCACGCAGGCCCCGCGCCGCAGTTCTCGGCATCCCCGCCGCGCCCCGCCCAGGATGGGGGGAGGAGGGCAGAAGACAAGGAGGAGGGGGGGAGAAGGGGGACGAGGAGGAGAAGAGAGGCAGGAAGATGAGAGAAAGGGGTTGGGCTCCGAGGGGGAAGGCAGCAACAGGAGGAGGATGAAGGGAGGAGGAGGAGGAGGAGGAGGAGAAGGGAAATGATTTGCAGCGCGCTGAGGGGCAGCGAACGCGATCTGTGCTTCTGGTGCCACGGAGGACGGGTTAATACTCGTCGAGTCGGAGGAAGCCTAATCAGCCCAATCGTCGGTAAGAGCAAACCTAATATCCGAGCGTCTTGCGAATTGGGGTCGTGAGGAATCCTTACGCGCATGCCAAGCGTATCGGGATCTGGCCTTGGAAACAGCGCTGCCTCCCCAGCGACCTCCAAGATATGATTTGGAGGTGGAGGAGGAGGAGGAAGAGGAGGAGGAGGAGGAGGAAGGGAGGCAGGAAAAGGGGAGGAGGGGGAAGAGGAGGAGGGGGAGATGGGTAGGATAGGGGGGCGGCGACGGGGGGAGGGGGTACCGCCGAGGGGGAGGGGAAAGAAGAGGAGGATGAGTGTCTGCAGGGCCTGCCTCTCGCGGGTTCACAGCCCCTCGCACCCACCGCTTAAATTCGAACGCAGCCCAGCTTCGAGCAGCAGCCGGCTGATCGCGTCGGGAACGGCACAGGTGTCCGCACCGGCGCTGGGCGCAAACCAGCCGGGCCCCGCCTGGCGGTGTGGAACCCGCCCGCACGATGGCCGAGCCACGGCCTCCTTGCATTGCACGACTGCGGCGCTGAGCAAATACAGGCCCCGCGCCGAGGAAGTGCATGACGCGGCCGCCTCTCACCCGAGGGCGGCGGGCAACGAGAG